TATTTTATCAATTGTTTTTTTTTTTTAACAGTTAATTTGTTTTCATTTTTTTAAAGATTACTTTCTAAAGTGAAGACAAATTTTATGGGTAAATCTTTTCTTTTAGATACTTTATGAATTTCCTAATTAAGCTTTCTGTTGCTAGCAACCAATAGCTTTAAAATTTAAATTTTCTACAAGTACTTTGGTGATGATTGGAACACCAATCCCTCTGATCACTTAAATAAGAATGAGAATCAACACTTATCGAACACCTTCCAACATCTTTTTTTGAATGGCTTCTAAATATCTTCCACTAAACATAGCAAATAAGGGATCTAGAATGATAACATGATATGTTTTCGATGTATGCATAATGTGAAGTGCAGTGGACAAACCCTACACAGTTCTCATGGTATATAAAACCTTAACTAACTATTAATATATTCATCTCCTGCTTCATTAAGTTATCCAATGCCACACCATCAGTATGGTTGAAGATTTATGTAAATATAAATTACCAAAGTTCTTTAAATATACATTACTAAATTAATGATATGAGGAATAAAAACTTGCATAAAAAAGCTTTCTTCTTTATTATTGATCTTTAGACAACTTGGGCAAGTAAATAAAAGTTATCTACATGTGATTTTAGTGTAAATTCTGGTAGCCCTTATTTTTCTGACCTAACCCAGTTCCACGAGCACATCCAGAAATTATTCAAATTAAATGAAAGTAAGTAGTTTTAAAGAGTGGACCAGCCAGTCATAGATATTGAAAATAACTGGAAAAAATTGGGAAAAGTGGATAAAATCTAAACATATTATATTACATAGCGGTTTCATATTTCACAGCATTTTTAATGTGTACTCTAAGAGTAGCACAAAAATATACAGAAATATTTTGTAAATCTAGCAACCTAAACAATTTATTTTGCAGAACGTTGGCCAAGCAAATCTTCGTGTCAACCTTGTCTTCTGCAAATTCCCAAAACTCAGATTTAGTAAAATCTGTTAAATTTTGCTCAGCATGAGTAATAGTCCAGATTTTCAACTACCTTAGATTGCACTGCACTTCTCCCCACAGTACATCAAACACAGTTTTTAACTGTTTTGTGATGCTAAATAAATAATATAAATAAAAAGTAAACCTTGCAAGGATTGGATGAAAGATAATTCAGTAATATCTTAATGAAAAAATACATCAAAGCAAATATGAATTATTAACATTATTGTTAATTGATGGGAAAAGCCAGAAACAATAAATCATTTACTGGAAAAAATGTATTTCCAACTACAGTTAGAGCAACAAAAATATATCAATAAAATCACCAATGAAGTGCTATCTCTTAAGATTTTCATTATTAACATTCAAATATGTTTTCCGTTTATATAAAACCAAATTATCGCTAAACCATGAGATCCGTATTTTGAACAGGCTATTTTCACTTTTAAACTTCATCTTTCATCCATCTTGCAAGAATAAGAGAGAAGTATACTCTGCATCTTCATGAAGATCCTTACCTAATGACATAGACATTTTATCCTCCGATGTCATCTTGTTCTCATCAACAGATGTAAACACAAATAAAAACTAATTCAAATTGTGACATTCATCTTCACAACTCACTCACACTAACATTTACTTTCGTTTCCCATCCACCACACCTCCAGCATTTCAACTGTTTTTCTATTTCCGTAAACAAAATCGGGAGAAATCAGGATGACCAACCTCAATGAAATGCAAAGTTATTTAGCGTTTTCTATTGGAGACCGTTCGTACCACTTGCAAAGCGGCTGGACCATTTTATTGAAAGTGCTTCTCTCTATCATTACTTTCTCGTACTGTCGTGCTTACAGTCTTTCAATATGCGCGCGGAATTTGAAAAGAGTGTTCATCCCAAAGCAGAAAATGAGTTCATTAACTAGCCACTCAAGATGCTCCAAAAATGAGTTAAAAACAGTTTATTATTTCGTATGAATAATAAAAATGAAATGGGGGTACAATTTTTACTTTCTCGTATTTGTAGTAAAGGTATCGAAAAAATATTATGTTACAAAAATTGATGTCGAGATTTTGACGGAGATGTACGATCTGGAGACTCTTGATCCCGAAAAAAAGGATTTGTTGCAAACCCTCGGTCTGTCCATATGTCAGTGTATCTACCGTTCAAATCGTTCACAAGATCTCTAAAAGTATTCCTCGACCGCAGGTGTCCCAACAAACTGTGGGACTTCATCCCCTTCATCGAATGACTGAAATGCAATTTTCAAAATTCAGAACACGAATATACAATAAATCGTAAACAATTAATATAAAATATTAAAACTAAGTTTAATAAAAGTCTATATTGAAACATTACATACGTAATTTTATGTGTAGTGTCCGCATATTCACCTCTCTCGTCAGGTATATTCCTCAGATATATACTCTCTGGTAATATCCTCACGAGGTGTATTCACTTCCCGCACATGTGGTTCTAGTTTTGATTTTTAGTGAGCACTCGAGTTTTTTTATTATTATTTTCGCGTTGAATCAATTGACGATAATGGAATTCATGTAAAAGAAAAAATTACTTGGTTTCAAAAATATGGTGATCGCATTCCAGCACTTTACAACAAGCGCTATTGTTTGGACACGTTTTACACAAATACATTTTTTTAACATACCCTGTGCGAAACGCGTTTTTCGTGCACGTTTCTGCGTGCGAAACATCTAATATTTTCATAGTGTGTGAAACATCGCGGAGCGTGTGAGAAACATTTGTAACGATTCGCAATTGTATTTCGTTTTTTCTTTGTTTATTACACACAATAGTGTTACGACACTGACGAATCCATTCACTTTCGTTCAAGTAAGGTATTTATAGTTATCTGGTATTTAATTTTTATTCTTTTACTTGCGTTTAGCTCATGGCGTGTTAAAAAAGTATAGGTAACAAGGGCGCGAAACAGTTGATTCCCGCACTCGCCTCTTTGTTGTCCTCGTTACGCTCGGAGGACAAACGCGACTCGTACGTCAATCACCTGTTTTGTACACCCTACTGTACTTCGAAAATTTCACTATCCTTGTATACATTGCAATAATGAAAGATCTTACACACATCGCGCACTAATTTCACGATTCCTGCAGAAAGTCATTGTTGTGGCAGGCGCGGATCTAGGGGAGGGAAATAAAGGAAATTTCCTCCCCGAAAATTTGTTAGCAACTATTCATTTAAACGAAACTTCCAAGCAAAAATATTTTCTGATAATCTTTAAAACGAATAAAATCGTATCATGGGATGAGCTGAGTGTAGCCTGCGACATTTTACAAAATCTATACGTCCGACCTAAACATTTTGATTTTCCCCTCCCAAAAGTTGTCTCAGGATCCGTCTCTGGTTGTTGTGATGGTATTCAATAGTGTCCCGACTGTTCGAGATGCACATAACGTGAGATGCAGAAAGGGACTTACTTACTGAACGGCAAACTTTACACAAAACACTCATCAAAATCGAAATGTAGCATCAAATGAAAAGAAATTCTCCAAACATACACAATCCATTCAATGCTGTCGATAATTGACTGACTTGGTACTTTCAATAACCAGACAATTTCATTTACAAACCTAATGTTATTTCATTGCCTTAAGACGTACGCACAAATTAAATAAAACAAACAAAAGAAATAAAATGTAATTCGCTCGAGAGCAATCAGACAGCGCGCAATTACACCGACAGGGCGAAGGTCATAGACGACAGTCCTACGGCAAGCCTCTCTCACTCTCTGCCTCTTTTTACGTGGAGGAGCAAACCAGCAGCCTCTCTGTGGAGAGGGGCGCCCATCGGTTCTCGCAAAAGCCTTTTGGCCAGTACCGTAACGAAATGAGTGCGGGCCGGCCCGCAAAACATTTATCCGGGCCCCCTTCATAAAAAAGTGTTAGCGAACACAAGTAGTGTTAGTACCTTTGATAATAAAAATATCTCCGAAAAACGGGCTCTCTTTTACCCAGGCCTTACGGGCCCACTACTCCAGACTTTTGGCGCACTCCAGCCAAGGGCTCGCTAGAGGATGTGGATGTAAGGTCTCCCCAAAATCTCTCGCTGTCACGGGGCAACCTGCCCGCCGGACAGACAGTGCGAGGCCACGACGCGACTGGGACTCTGCGGGCGAAAATGAACGAGCTGAGCACTGCTGTGGCACCCCACATTCCTCGCATCCTCCTCACCTTTCCGAACTGTCCTCCGCGCCATACACACACACGCGCGCGCGCGCACGCACGCTCACACGCCCTCCCCCCCCCACACACACAAACACACACACTTGAAATGAAGAAATCAGAAAAAAGTTAAAGAAAAGACCGTATGTGAAGATGTAAAGGAATACCAAAGACAATTATTAAGGAACACATGGAAAGAACGGGGAAAAATAGATTACAAAGCTCTTCCTGTAAAACCAACCTATAAGCAAAACAGAGAGGGGATGAGTAAAGATGTGGAAATAACAGGAACACCTGGTAGACTAATCACCACCACTACCATCTGCAAAGACGAGATGGGAAAAAGCAGGGCAACCAAGTAGACTAACCATCAGGCCAGGCGTTTTGCAATTTTACATTTTACAGCGACAAGACCGACAAAATAGATTTGCAAAAAAATGTTAAATGAATTTTTATCAAAAGTGCAAAGCGCCGCACTGTTTTTGCATTGCAAAAATGAACTTATCAAGTTACGTAAAATAAATGTGTTAACAATTTAATGATACACATGACAATTTGAGAATAATATGTTTGGCATTTTTCTCTTCATACACATTTTCGTGCGATGATGGTGAAGAGGGAGGTGGGTCAACTATCCACTCGGACTTAACACCAGTCGCCCCCCTCGTAGAAGTTGATGATGATGGTTTTGATTGATCACTCTGTAAATTGATCAGGGAACTTTGGCAGAAGATCTTACTTTTTCATCTTCAATCATTGTTTTATATCACATGATCAATCATCAGGCACGTGGCACTTTCGAAGAGAAGGACCATGACACACTCTCTGGGAGGGCAACTCTGACAAATGACGGGTGGGGGGGGGCTGTGCTTTTAAAGGTACCTTCGGGAAAATCTCTATTTTTCTTCTTTATTCAATTGTGTTCTTTTTGAAGCTCGAATCAATATTTGTGATCATTAGAACAAACGAATGGGCTGAGAAAGTTAGGGGAGGGCGGGCTCACGAAAGTGTGTGTAAGGCCCCATAAAATCGTTATGGAATTCTTTCAAGATCCGGTTGTATAAACTTCGCAAATATATAATTATTTCATTGTGTTTTCATTCACTTAGTCCCATGCTAGTATGTTCTTTATGTACCCGCTCGTGGCACTAAGTGAAAGCATCAGGTCGTTTCCATGGCAACACACTGCTACTTGTCACCTACTGAAATATACCAACTAAAGAAAATAAAAATGCAATTCACGTTATAGTAAACCGATGTTACCAAAGATTGCCAATTGCGCAATGCAGTAGTAATTGATTTGTAATTAAAAAATGATTTGCAACTCTGGTACAACCGTCTACTAAATGGGTCCGTTAGGTATAAAATTATTGGTTTACCGACGACGATAGTTGTCAGACCACAATGTATCTCTGAAAAGAGAGGGCTGTGTGTAGAGTTTAGCAGAATGTGCAGTGATCTGTAAAGTGCTGTAGAGTGACGTTGTGTATTACATAGAACGTGCATTTTTGGGTAAAATTTGAAACTTTAAAATGAGATGTTATGGTGCATGCTTCAAGTTTTGTTTTTGTTTATGAATTTGTGGTTATAATATAATTATTTTATGAAATTAATGTTTTTGTTCGCTGAAGTAATCACATAGTTGTGTGTTTCAGTCAAAATTATTTTCAAAGGAGAATTAAAAATAAAGAAAAAATATTACGTAGTGTTCATTATAAGCCCACACTTTTCCGTGATTGAAATGTCTTCAGAAGTAGGGAACACTAAGAAAAAGAAGTACACTCGACAAGAACTAGAGGGTCTTGACAGAGAAGAGTTGGTTAATCGAATATTACAATTAGAAGCATATAATTTTCAGCTCAAAAATACTCTTCAGAAACATTTGACTGAAGTTGAAGGCACTCCACAAAAAGAAGAAAGAAAACGTCCCTTTGATTTTTCAAAACATACACGACGCCATGTGCTTCTCAGATTTTTGTATTTGGGATGGGACTACCAGGGGTTGGCTACACAGGAAAATACTACAAAAACTATTGAGTATCACATGTTTGCTGCTTTAGCAAAAGCATGTTTGATAGAAAGCCGACAGACCTGTAATTATCATCGCTGTGGACGCACTGATAAAGGAGTTAGCTCATTTTGCCAAACTATATCTTTGGATTTAAGAAGTAAATTATCAAAGGAGGAGGTAAGCATAACTGAATTTATTAACCTATGATTCATTTAATTTAGTTGCCCAGTTGCACATTTTTAATGAAATGAAAATTATTTTCAGTCTAAATATATCACGTTTTGTGTTTTATTGAACAGATTGAGAAAAATGTCACTGAGGGAGAACTCCAATACGCCAAAATTCTCAATCGCCTACTCCCAGAGGATATCAAAGTTCTGTCATGGACACCTGTTCCAGAAGATTTTAGTGCTCGATTTGATTGTAAGAACAGGATGTATAAATACTTTTTTCCTCGTGGAGAACTTAATATAAAGCTCATGAATGAAGCAGCTCAATATCTATTGGGTACTCATGACTTTCGAAATTTTTGCAAACTTGATGTAAAAAATGGTGTAGTAAATTACATAAGAGATGTACAATTTGTTCAGGTGCATTTAAGATGTGCTGATCCATTAGGAAATAGTGCTTATGACCTGTGTGAACTCACTATAAAGGGCAAGGCTTTTCTATGGCATCAGATACGTTGTATTATGGGTATCTTGATACTAGTTGGTCAAGGTAATGAGGATCCTGAAATAATAAAGAAATTACTGAATGTTGAAGAAAATCCTTGTAAACCTCAGTATAACATGGCAGCTGATTTGCCCCTGAATTTATTTGAGTGTGAGTTTGAGGATATTAAACCAGAAGTTCAGGATCCAGAAGCTCTTGAGATTGCAGTGCGTTGTTTGCAGAATGCTTGGGGGCAACACACTGTTCAAGCTGGAATGATTCGATGTATGCTTAATGCATTGGAGGAGGGGTCCCTATCCAGCAGCAAGTTATGCTTTCAGACAGACTGGCTGTTGCAAGGTGTGTGCCCTCGTGTGTATCAGCCACTTTTAACTAGGCCAACGTGTGAAAGTTTGGAGGGTAGAATTGAGCACTACAGAAAAAAACAAAAATTAGATTCAAGTGTGCAGTCTGATGTCTCTATCTGATTGTCCTGTAATAGCAGGAATTGGTAGTACAGCAAGTATACAATGTAAAAATGTTGATGTGATGTATATGAAGATCATTTTTACATTTATTGGTTAATTAGTTTTAGTATGTAAAGTATAAAGAAAATAAAAAAGAATGGATTAATCTATCAATAAAGTACGCAGTCTTTAAAAGAGAGTACAGATTTAAACTTAAACCGTCAATTATTTTTAAATGTTTATTGTGCTGACTATGTTTAATTTCTAATTGTTATATCTGTTTATTGTGACACGACAGCAGGTTTTTTCAATTAGTATTTTTATATTTTTTAATTTGCATGCTTTCCTATATCAAAACAACATTTTTATTAGCCTTAGCATTGAATAATTCTGAAGAAGCAAAAATTTATTCACTATCTGGATTTTAGTTAGGCAGGTATGTCTTATATTACAGGTAAATATCAAGAGGTATATTTTTAATGATGTATTGTAATTAATGTGCTGAAAAGTATTTGCACTATTTCTGAAATGAAGTAATTGTAAAAGGCAATTAAAACCCTACAACACACAAACGTTTTTGTATAGGTTCTTGCACTTATTTCATCATTGTTAATTATAGTAAAAGAGACAGTAACATGTAGATTTATTAAGTAAGGAATAAATAATGATGCTATTGTTCAAGCCTAAAAAGTGAATTGATGGCTGATAAGACAAATCAGAAATCTGCACAAAAACACATTTGGAGATGAATATGATGTCTTTTCTGTCAGTTCAAGCTACACTATTTAATGTGAAAAGTTCCTGTGAAAATCCTGAATTACCTTTGTCTCTTTCTCCATGGAGTTTTCCCCACCTGAGCAATGTGGAGTGCCGGTTTCTTAAGTTGTACCAAATTCTTTACTTCAGCCTTCAATTGTAACTTATGCATTGCAAAAATGGTATTACCCCCTTTAATATGTTGGCAGGTTTTTCCTTTGTTCTCCTCTTTCCCCTGCCTCTTATTCCACCAGACCTTCAGTGCCATTCACTTCATCATTGTAGCAAACATCTAATAAAAGTGATCAGTATGGTGACTACACACTTATTCTACTCTGATAAAAATTTTAAAAACACTTCATTGCTAATGTTGTAATTTATCACGCAGGGTTCAAAATAAAGTAAAAGTTTAAGCCAATCAAGTTCTCTCTTAAATCTTTAAAAATCTTAGAAATAATATGATACGGATATGTATAGGTGATTTTGAAATTTCTCATCATGGCCTGCAAGTCAGTACGTGTATTTACATATTTGTCTGATTTCATTCTCTTAAAATGTATTTTGAATTTTCTCTGGAACTCTTCCTCTGTTTCAGCTACATTCTTTGTTTGTAAAATTGTTCATTTGTCCTAGTTTCTAATTTTTTTTCCACTAGTCACAGGTATGAATGATCATTGGAGCTTCTTCCAATCTTTGCATTTCCCTCTGTGAGCATCCATGCCTCTCTATCATACAATATCATTGTATTAGATAGTGTATATTGTGTTATCTAATATTTGTTTATGTGGCCAATTTCTTGTAATACAGCCATTAATTTGGTATATCTAGGCAATTTAATTTCAAAATCTTCACTTTCTAAAGCCATGTGTGTTATCCCAAGTATGCAAAATCTTATTTCCTACTTGCTAATTTTATTACACTACTTAATTTTATTTTTTGGTGTTCTTTTCCTAGTAGCCCTGTAGATTTTGTATTTGTTTGGATTCTCTCATTCCTATTATTCTGCAATCTTAGATAATATGGAAGCTACAGTTTGTAAATCGACATGCTTTTGTCGGGAACACCAGTGACCTCCATAAATGATTGTTTTAAGCTGTTGGGTTTGGGGTTTGTTTCTACTTCTTTTTTCCATGCCTTTGTCATGTGATTTAGGTATATAGTGAACAGCGAAGATAATAATTTGCAGCAATGACCTCTGTTGTGATGATTTGTAACATGTCTTCACTTATACAATGAACTTTGCTTTTTGGATACCTATACATTTTTACTCTGAATTTAAAATAACCTTTCTATTACTTTTATCAGGTCATCAATTTCCTCTTATCTGAGGGTTTGTTTGTTTCTTTCCGATCACTGTGTGAATGCTTTCTTATAGCGAACAAATATTAGGTTTGTTGTTAAAATGTAAAATCCTTTTCAAACAATTGGTTGATTTGTAACATCCTGTATATTAGTTCCATAGAAATGCAAAGGTTAGTAGTTGATGGACATCAGTTTTGGAACATTTTGTTTTCTTTTTAGTACTTGGAGAGACAGCTTCATTACTAGAGTGATTTTTTTGTATTTGGTATTGTTTTCTATTTTTTATTTATTAAACATTAGAAATTTAAAGCAGCTTTTCTCATTTCACGCCCAATTTTCTAATTCCAATTGTCCATAAATTGTAGAGATGCGAATAGGATTTCTACAAACTTAAGTAAAACAATGAAATTTTTACTCTGATTGCTTGATTTGGACCTGAGTGACATCTGAAAATGAATACTTACTACATGGATTTCCATTTGAAGGCAGTGTCTTTTATTTCTTGAGGTGTAATTACCTATCCTATAACTTTGTATGTTTTCAGAAACAACTTAGTGTCAGACCATGATTGGTGTAAAGAATTTCAAGAATAGTAGTCAGTTAAAAGCATTAAAGATTATTTGAAGAATTTTAAGGTACTAATTAACAATGTGATGCATCAAAACTTTTCCTGGAAACATTTTGACTCTCCAAAAATGATTGTCGTGAAAGAGATTATTTCAGTCACCATCACCTGTGAAGTCTAATAAATATGTATTGAAACAAGAAAGTGCAGAAAGAAAATAACAGTTTCCTGAAACTATAGACTGATATTCACAATTAGATTTTCATTATTAGAACTACTAAAGTGAGTACTTTTTCACCATACCCATTGTAGAAAAAATTAATTTAAAGTCAAGTTAAATGAAAGTTATTGCATTGTTTGCTCTGAGGGTCAAAATTGATTAAAAACCTAACCTAAGACATGAATTTAAACTTTTTAAAAGAAACCTTTATTTTTTGCCTGATATATGTTTGTTAATGGATTGATGTAATTGTTCTGTACTTTCATTTTCAAGTGCTGTTTTGCTTCATTGTTTTTCTCCTTAATATGGCTGAATGTCTTGTTACGTGATTATTACCCCAATTCTGAATTCATTGTTTTAGTAAAAGATTTTTAGAATTATCCAAAACCAATTAAAGCAGCAGATTTTATAAAAATTATAATTTTAATCTTATTTCATATTCAGCTTTTTCTGTTCCACAGAGACCCTCTTGTTATTAGTTAAAGACAATAAATGCTCCAATAAAGATTATTCTCTACTTTTCTATCTATGTTCCCCCCACTCCCCAGTTAGGCAGACTGTATTTGGGCTTTTTTTAAAGACAGAATAGTAAAATAAAATCACTGCTTTATATCAATACATAAATTACATGTGATGCATAATAACAGTAATGTTTTGGAAATTAATTATTTCTATCATCAAGCTTAATGGCAAAAACAAATAATTAATACATTTTTTTCTTCCTGTTATTATGTATCACATGTAATTTATGTATTGATATAAAGTAGTGATTTTAATATAATATTGTGTCTAAAGAAAAGTCCATATACAGTCTGAAAAATTTGAAAAAAAAGTGCTCCAATAGTTTTATTTAGATATTGGTCTTAAGAGCCTGGCTACAAACTGACCACTATGCAGATTAAAATTGCAAGGTGACACAAAATGTAATGAAAGTATTAAGAGTTTATTTTTATTCTGGCAATGTGCCACAGTGGGGAGTACTATAGTAACACCAGTTTCTCCTAACCCTTGGCTCACCGAAGTAGCCATTGAATGTTGGAAAAAGAAATTGAAAACTTTGCGAGAAAAAAGTGGAGGAATTTTGTGTACAGAAATTTATGAAGAGATGGCGAAGAAAATGGAAAAAACACGTTCAACGCACAAGATGAACGTAGAAAAAAATGTCCCCAAAGAAAGGTAAACTTTATTTACTCTAGCTGGCGATTGACCGGGC